TCAATAGACGTATCAATAGACGTATCAATAGACGTATCAATAGACTCATCAATAGACGTATCAATAGACGTATCAATAGACAGATTATGTTGTGTTGCTAGGTGCAATAATGGACATTTGTGTACGGTGTGGTGTGCACCAATGTGCAGCTGGCTGTTGAGTAAGGTGCACTAATGTGCAGCCAGGTACGGTGTTTACTGGGCAAACATTAAGTGCCATGTTTCTGGTGGGTAAAAGTAGTCTGTCTGTAATATACACGTCTGTCAGTCATACACACGTGTGTGGTCATATACAATTCGCTCAGTCATACACACTAGTGACACTACTGACCACAACAACCCTTCACATGCCCACCCATCTCACACCAACCTGTCACTTCTATATTCTTTTATGCACAAGTGACGTTGGTTTGTATCGGGTAATATACAAGATATGGGGTTATGGCGTAGTTGGTTACATAGCCTAGGACATAACATAGTCCATATATATAGATAACTTGGTTACTGACTTGGGCCAATAAAATACTCCATATCTCGTTGTTGTTGTTGTTTTTGCACGATTACAAGACTTTCTCTATACTTCTTTATACTTTCTCTATACTTCGTATATACAAGAAAGTAAAAAAAATCATGATTTTTGCAAATCTCGACGTTTTACACCTCCCTGAGTCGGAAAAAAATAGTTTTGCAAACTTGTCCGTATGTCTGTGTGTGTGTGTGTTTTGTGTGTATGTGTGTTTTGTGTGTGTGTGTGTGTGTATGTGTCGTTACAGCTAGTTAGATGCATTTTCATATATAATATTATATCAAGTTTGTAGATCCTTATCATTTTTTCAACGATTTCCGATAACCGGAAGTGGAACTTTTTCTACTTTCAATTTTTTTTCAAAAGCCGATACCTTGAGTACTATTTCAGATAGATAAATGAAATTTCACATGTAAGTAAAAGTTCTAATTCTCTACCTACTATCAAATTTTGAGTAATTTCTGTTGACCGGAAGTAGTAATTTACGCTATTTCCAATTTCTCCAAAAAACGCATGTGAATTTATAAAGTACTGATAATATTCCGCACTATTATACACATTTTGCTTGCGTTCGTTTGGTGCGCAATTCTTTTTTCTAAGAGATTCCATTCTATTTTTAAAAGTTTAAGTAATTAAAAATCATGTCTTTATCCCGAGTTGCCATCTCCGTAGTATTATATAGTATTATGAAATTTCGAGAAAGTTTAGGGGAGATCACTCTCGGTTTATTTTTCATGTAAAAATAAACGTTAACATAAATGAAAACAGTTGTGATAAATCGTGTGCAATGACACAATGATTCCAATGTAGTGACACAGTACATTGCAATGATTAAGTCACATGACATTTAGCAACAACTTGATTATTATGCTTGAAGTTCCAATAAAATGTTGATCGGCGAATCTATTTGATGTATTCATGTCAAAACAGCTTTTCCTGTATTTTAAACTGTTTTTTTTCCATCCTATTTATTGAAGTGCCTTGGTTAAGCCCACTTGATTCGAGAGATTATATTGGGTTTCCCAAATCAAACTTAATTTAATTTTAAAAGTGGCTTTACAAGTACACTTCGATGCTTTTATTGAATTACGTCGTTCATATACGTAGTCCATATGCGTGCGTTCATATACGTACGTTCATATAAGTACGTTCATATACGTACGTTCATATAAGTACGTTAAATACGTAGTTCATATACATACGTTCATATACGTACGTTCATATACGTACGTTCATATACGTACGTTCATATACGTACGTTCATATAAGTACGTTTAAATACGTAAGTCCAAATACATACGTTCATATACGTACGTTCATATATGTAGTTCATATACGTACGTTCATATACGTACGTTCATATACGCAGTTCATACACGTAGTCCATATACGTACGTTCATATACGCAGTTCATATTCGTAGTTCATATACGTACGTTCATATACGTACGTTCATATACGTACGTTCATATACGTACGTTCATATACGTACGTTCATATACGTACGTTCATATACGTACGTTCATATACGTACGTTCATATACGTAGTTCATATACGTACGTTCATATACGTACGTTCATATACGTACGTTCATATACGTACGTTCATATACGTACGTCCATATACGTACGTCCATATACGTACGTTCATATACGTACGTTCATATACGTACGTTCATATACGTACGTTCATATACGTACGTCCATATACGTACGTCCATATACGTACGTTCATATACGTACGTTCATATACGTACGTTCATATACGTACGTTCATATACGTACGTTCATATACGTACGTTCATATACGTACGTTCATATACGTACGTTCATATACGTACGTTCATATACGTACGTCCATATACGTACGTCCATATACGTACGTTCATATACGTACGTTCATATACGTACGTTCATATACGTACGTTCATATACGTACGTTCATATACGTACGTTCATATACGTACGTTCATATACGTAGTTCATATTCGTAGTTCATATACGTACGTTCATATACGTACGTTCATATACGTACGTTCATATACGTACGTTCATATACGTACGTTCATATACGTACGTTCATATACGTACGTTCATATACGTACGTTCATATACGTACGTTCATATACGTACGTTCATATACGTACGTTCATATACGTACGTTCATATAAGTACCATAAGAGCTAAGAGCTAGATACTACCATGTACAAGCTAATCACCTAGTTACTGTAATTAAATACAAATACATTGCGGATGTTTCTCTCAGACCCTAACAGTGTGTTAGAGTTTATGTGACAGATGATTGTTTAACTTGACTGGCCTAGAACCGAAGAAATTGTTCTGGCAACTCACGCTGTTGAAGCTCTCTAGCACTAGCGTCGTGTAGGGCGTGCCCCTCATTGTTCGCCTGCTGAGAAATCTGATGGTTAGAGAGTCAGCTGATGGAGTCAGGGCTAGTACTGGCGTCATTCTGTGGGTCTGACGCTGAGGTACTCGCGTCATTCTGTGGGTCTGACGCTGAGCCTACGAATTTTAGGCTTGAACAACATTCTACATATATTCATTGATTTGGCAGAAAAATAAATTTCAAGTGAATTTTCAAGAGATAACTTACGTTTTAAATTCGAAAATTAAAATTAGAAAACTAGAAAATATAAAGATTTTGTGGTATTTTAAAATTAATTTTACCTTATCAATGTTTAAAAACAAAATGAAAAGAATGGCTCAACACATTCTAAAAAAGATTTCCTTACTGCATCGTGCTGTTTGAAAGAATTTATTGAAATTACTTACTCATTGCTTTATGAAACGCGTATACAATTGGGCGCATTTGGTAATAACTATAAATTTAAACATTTAAACCTTTTAAAAATTCAAATGTTTTTCAAATTAATACTCCGTAGTAAGATAAAATATTTTGTTATTTGTTTCTAATAGTTATACCAAATTATGTTTTACTAAGACAATGTCGTATAAAAGGATTGTTTTTAAAGTATTCGTTATGTTATTTCTATGAATTTTGTTTTAAAAAAGTAAAATCTCAGACACAGTAGTTCACTTGTAGGCCTACCTCTAGTGGCGGAACTAGAAAAATTGGGCCACCCCGCAAAAATTTTTTTGGGCCCCATATATATATATATATATATATATAATATATATATATATATACCACAATACGAACATAGAATACTCAATTCGGGCTTGTTCAAAATTTGGAAAATTAAAAATTCTTAGTTTTTATTTTAATTAAAACATAATACAGCAACAACACATCATGTGTAAGTGCTATTAATCTGTTTTGAAATTCTTTGTTTCAATGTTTGACATAATGTTTCCTTATAAGCAAGTTGGTCAAAAGAATATGAAGCAAGAAAGCTTTGTATGTGTAATGGTTTCTCGCCTTATGTTTATTTAAAGATTTTTTGTATTTATATTATTATTAGTTTTTAATACATTTCCTTTTTTACTATTTCATTCTTTATTATGTATTTTTAAAAAATAATAATTAAGAGATGTAATTGGTTTTTAATTTGTTTAGTGCAAATGTATTTAAAGTTTCTTAAGAACACACGTATTTGACTATTTTAAAAAAGGGAAATAAGTCATGGAAGCGGTTTCAACGGTTGCCTATCTTACACACTACAACTTTACGATACATTGTGTGTTAGCTACTGTAGTACATCACAACTGTAGTAGATCTGTTTGTTTTTTTACAAGAAAATTATTCTTTAACTATAAAAAAAAAATTGATCATGGTCGGTTGCGGGCCCCTAAACGGCCTGGGCCCCCCCCCGCATTGCGGGGTCTGGCGGCACTGTAGTTCCGCCCCTGCCTACCTCTCATAGTTTCGTGAAAATACAAGAATTCAATAGAAAATATGCGGGTAAAAGCGATATTGAGGTCAGGAGATTTAGACTGACCTGTGTCCCATTCTCCAACTTTTGCCATTGGACAAAGTACAGAGCTTGGGGTGGGTATTGTCGTCTATGTCATATTTATGTCAGACATTTGTCATTTTGTTTCACTAAAATAGTTTATATTTTAAGTTTATTGCCATTTTGTTTCACTAAAAAGGTTTATATTTTAGGTTTATTGCCATTTTGTTTCACTAAAATAGTTCATATTTTAAGTTTTGCAGCGTGCACCATGTTGTGTTAAAATATAGATTTGTGCTAGATGTCAAGTAGATTACATAATATTGAAGTGAAGTTTGATATACCCCTGACTTTAATGCCATTAAAAGCTAGCCAACAAGCAGGAAGGAAAACTAGACTTGACCAAGTTTACCGGCTCCGACATAAGGTCCCAACATTTGAAAACATCACTCACCACAGCTTTCGTCACAGCACGTGATGTAAGTGGCCAGGTTTGACTTCCTGTTTGTTGATGGGGTGTTACGTCATCACACTAGTCCTTAGAGTAGTGTGATCAACAGGCGTCGGGAGGGGGGGGGGAGGAGGTGTGCAGATGGGCAGCTCTTTCATCAAGGCAACCAGTCGTAGTGGCAGATAAAATGGATTACAAAACTGTGGCCGTGATCATCTACCTTATCATCAGCAATCTTTTGGTAAATGTTTAAATAACAATATGTATGTATTTATATGTATTGAATAACTGGACATATCACGGCTTATCTTTCACAGTTCCGGTCTATTGAAAATTTTGGGTATAATTATAATTCTAAGCCGCTTTTACATCTTGTTAAATTAAATTAAATTAAAAATGGGCAATTCCTCTACATTCTGTAAAATTTGATATTATAAATACGTTACTTAGTAAAAGCACCTTGGAAAGCACTGGCCCAGGTGAGCCAACAGGTGTATCACGTGACTAATAGACTCAATGTTTGAATGTGGCACTTCAGTGTTTTGGGGATTAGATCAAGAGACAAATGGAGCTAGAATCTAGACAGGACCAGATGTAGCATCTAGACAGGACCAGATGTAGCATCTAGACAGGACCAGATGTAGCATCTAGACAGGATCAAATGTATCATCTAGACAGGACCAGATGTAGCATCTAGACAGGACCAGATGTAGCATCTAGACAGGACCAGATGTAGCATCTAGACAGGACCAGATGTAGCATCTAGACAGGACCAGATGTAGCATCTAGACAGGACCAGATGTAGCATCTAGACAGGACCAGATGTAGCATCTAGACAGGACCAGATGTAGCATCTAGACAGGATCAGATTTAGCATCTAGACAGGACCAGATGTAGCATCTAGACAGGACCAGATGTAGCATCTAGACAGGACCAGATGTAGCATCTAGACAGGACCAGATGTAGCATCTAGACAGGACCAGATGTAGCATCTAGACAGGACCAGATGTAGCATCTAGACAGGACCAGATGTAGCATCTAGACAGGACCAGATGTAGCATCTAGACAGGATCAAATGTAGCATCTAGACAGGACCAGATGTAGCATCTAGACAGGACCAGATGTAGCATCTAGACAGGACCAGATGTAGCATCTAGACAGGACCAGATGTAGCATCTAGACAGGACCAGATGTAGCATCTTGACAAGACCAGATGTAGCATCTAGACAGGACCAGATGTAGCATCTAGACAGGATCAAATGTAGCATCTAGACAGGACCAGATGTAGCATCTTGACAAGACCAGATGTAGCATCTAGACAGGACCAGATGTAGCATCTAGACAGGACCAGATGTAGCATCTAGACAGGACCAGATGTAGCATCTAGACAGGACCAGATGTAGCATCTAGACAGGACCAGATGTAGCATCTAGACAGATGTAGCATCTAGACAGGACCAGATGTAGCATCTAGACAGGACCAGATGTAGCATCTAGACAGGACCAGATGTAGCATCTAGACAGGACCAGATGTAGCATCTAGACAGGACCAGATGTAGCATCTAGACAGGACCAGATGTAGCATCTAGACAGGACCAGATGTAGCATCTAGACAGGACCAGATGTAGCATCTAGACAGGACCAGATGTAGCATCTAGACAGATGTAGCATCTAGACAGGACCAGATGTAGCATCTAGACAGGACCAGATGTAGCATCTAGACAGGACCAGATGTAGCATCTAGACAGGACCAGATGTAGCATCTAGACAGGACCAGATGTAGCATCTAGACAGGACCAGATGTAGCATCTAGACAGGACCAGATGTAGCATCTAGACAGGACCAGATGTAGCATCTTGACAAGACCAGATGTAGCATCTAGACAAGACCAGATGTAGCATCTAGACAGGACCAGATGTAGCATCTAGACAGGACCAGATGTAGCATCTAGACAGGACCAGATGTAGCATCTAGACAGGACCAGATGTAGCATCTAGACAGGACCAGATGTAGCATCTAGACAGGACCAGATGTAGCATCTAGACAGGACCAGATGTAGCATCTAGACAGGACCAGATGTAGCATCTAGACCAGATGTAGCATCTAGACATGACCAGATGTAGCATCTAGACAGGACCAGATGTAGCATCTAGACAGTATCAGATGTAGCATCTAGACAGGACCAGATGTAGCATCTAGACAGGACCAGATGTAGCATCTAGACAGGACCAGATGTAGCATCTAGACAGGACCAGATGTAGCATCTAGACAGGACCAGATGTAGCATCTAGACCAGATGTAGCATCTAGACAGGACCAGATGTAGCATCTAGACAGGACCAGATGTAGCATCTAGACAGGACCAGATGTAGCATCTAGACAGATGTAGCATCTAGACAGGACCAGATGTAGCATCTAGACAGGACCAGATTGATGTCGAATCTAGACAGGACCAGATGTAGCATCTAGACAGGACCAGATGTAGCATCTAGACAGGACCAGATGTAGCATCTAGACAGGACCAGATTGATGTCGAATCTAGACAGGACCAGATGTAGCATCTAGACAGGACCAGATGTAGCATCTAGACAGGACCAGATGTAGCATCTAGACAGGACCAGATGTAGCATCTAGACAGGACCAGATGTAGCATCTAGACAGGACCAGATGTAGCATCTAGACAGGACCAGATGTAGCATCTAGACAGGACCAGATGTAGCATCTGGACAGGACCAGATGTAGCATCTAGACAGGACCAGATGTAGCATCTAGACAGGACCAGATGTAGCATCTAGACAGGACCAGGTGTAGCATCTAGACAGGACCAGATGTAACATCTAGACAGGACCAGATGTAGCATCTAGACAGGACTAGGTGTAGCATCTAGACAGGACCAGGTGTAGCATCTAGACAGGACCAGATGTAGCATCTAGACAGGACCAGATGTAGCATCTAGACAGGACCAGATGTAGCATCTAGACAGGACCAGATGTAACATCTAGACAGGACCAGATGTAGCATCTAGACAGGACTAGGTGTAGCATCTAGACAGGACCAGATGTAGCATCTAGACAGGACCAGATGTAGCATCTAGACAGGACCAGATGTAGCATCTAGACAGGACCAGATGTAGCATCTAGACAGGATCAGATGTAGCATCTAGACAGGACCAGATGTAGCATCTAGACAGGACCAGATATAGCATCTAGACAGGACCAGATGTAGCATCTAGACAGGACCAGATGTAGCATCTAGACAGGATCAGATGTAGCATCTAGACAGGACCAGATGTAGCATCTAGACAGGACCAGATGTAGCATCTAGACAGGACCAGATGTAGCATCTAGACAGGATCAGATGTAGCATCTAGACAGGACCAGATGTAGCATCTAGACAGGACCAGATGTAGCATCTAGACAGGACTAGGTGTAGCATCTAGACAGGACCAGATGTAACATCTAGACAGGACCAGATGTAGCATCTAGACAGGACCAGATGTAGCATCTAGACAGGACCAGATGTAACATCTAGACAGGACCAGATGTAGCATCTAGACAGGACTAGGTGTAGCATCTAGACAGGACCAGATGTAGCATCTAGACAGGACCAGATGTAGCATCTAGACAGGACCAGATGTAACATCTAGACAGGACCAGATGTAGCATCTAGACAGGACCAGATGTAGCATCTTGACAGGACCAGATGTAGCATCTAGACAGGACCAAATGTAGCATCTAGACAGGACCAGATTGATGTAGAATCTAGACAGGACCAGATGTAGCATCTAGACAGGACCAGATGTAGCATCTAGACAAGCCCAGATGTAGCATCTTGACAGGACCAGATGTAGCATCTAGACAGATGTAGCATCTAGACAGGACCAGATGTAGCATCTAGACAGGACCAGATGTAGCATCTAGACAGGACCAGATGTAGCATCTAGACAGGATCAAATGTATCATCTAGACAGGACCAGATGTAGCATCTAGACAGGACCAGATGTAGCATCTAGACAGGACCAGATGTAGCATCTAGACAGGACCAGATGTAGCATCTAGACAGGATCAAATGTATCATCTAGACAGGACCAGATGTAGCATCTAGACAGGACCAGATGTAGCTTCTAGACAGGACCAGATGTAGCATCTAGACAGGACCAGATGTAGCATCTAGACAGGATCAGATGTAGCATCTAGACAGGACCAGATGTAGCATCTAGACAGGACCAGATGTAGCATCTAGACAGATGTAGCATCTAGACAGGACCAGATGTAGCATTTAGACAGGACCAGATGTAGCATCTAGACAAGCCCAGATGTAGCATCTTGACAGGACCAGATGTAGCATCTAGACAGATGTAGCATCTAGACAGGACCAGATGTAGCATCTAGACAGGACCAGATGTAGCATCTAGACAGGACCAGATGTAGCATCTAGACAGGACCAATGTAGCATCTAGACAGGACCAGATGTAGCATCTAGACAGGACCAGATGTAGCATCTAGACAGGACCAGATGTAGCATCTAGACAGGACCAGATGTAGCATCTAGACAGGACCAGATGTAGCATCTTGACAAGACCAGATGTAGCATCTAGACAGGACCAGATGTAGCATCTAGACAGGACCAGATGTAGCATCTAGACAGGACCAGATGTAGCATCTAGACAGGACCAGATGTAGCATCTAGACAGGACCAGATGTAGCATCTAGACAGATGTAGCATCTAGACAGGACCAATGTAGCATCTAGACAGATGTAGCATCTAGACAGGACCAGATGTAGCATTTAGACAGGACCAGATGTAGCATCTAGACAGGACCAGATGTAGCATCTAGACAGGACCAATGTAGCATCTAGACAGGACCAGATGTAGCATCTAGACAGGACCAGATGTAGCATCTAGACAGGACCAATGTAGCATCTAGACAGATGTAGCATCTAGACAGGACCAGATGTAGCATTTAGACAGGACCAGATGTAGCATCTTGACAGGACCAGATGTAGCATCTAGACAGATGTAGCATCTAGACAGGACCAGATGTAGCATCTAGACAGGACCAGATGTAGCATCTAGACAGGACCAATGTAGCATCTAGACAGATGTAGCATCTAGACAGGACCAGATGTAGCATTTAGACAGGACCAGATGTAGCATCTAGACAAGCCCAGATGTAGCATCTTGACAGGACCAGATGTAGCATCTAGACAGGACCAGATGTAGCATCTAGACAGGACCAGATGTAGCATCTAGACAAGCCCAGATGTAGCATCTTGACAGGACCAGATGTAGCATCTAGACAGGACCAGATGTAGCATCTAGACAGGACCAGATGTAGCATCTAGACAGGACCAGATGTAGCATCTAGACAGGACCAGATGTAGCATCTAGACAGGACCAGATGTAGCATCTAGACAGGACCAGATTGATGTAGAATCTAGACAGGACCAGATGTAGCATCTAGACAGGACCAGATGTAGCATCTAGACAGGACCAGATGTAGCATCTTGACAAGACCAGATGTAGCATCTAGACAGGACCAGATGTAGCATCTAGACAGGACCAGATGTAGCATCTAGACAGGACCAGATGTAGCATCTAGACAGGATCAAATGTAGCATTTAGACAGGACCAGATGTAGCATTTAGACAGGACCAGATGTAGCATCTAGACAGGATCAGATGTAGCATTTAGACAGGACCAGATGTAGCATCTAGACAGGACCAGATGTAGCATTTAGACAGGACCAGATGTAGCATCTAGACAGGATCAGATGTAGCATCTAGACAGGACCAGATGTAGCATCTAGACAAGACCAGATGTAGCATCTAGACAAGACCAGATGTAGCATCTAGACAGGATCAGATGTAGCATCTAGACAGGACCAGATTGATGTCGAATCTAGACAGGACCAGATGTAGCATCTAGACAGGACCAGATTGATGTCGAATCTAGACAGGACCAGATGTAGCATCTAGACAGGACCAGATTGATGTCGAATCTAGACAGGACCAGATGTAGCATCTAGACAGGACCATATGTAGCATCTAGACAGGATCAAATGTAGCATCTAGACAGGACCAGATTGATGTCGAATCTAGACAGGACCAGATGAAGCATCTAGACAGGACCATATGTAGCATCTAGACAGGATAAAATGTAGCATCTAGACAGGACCAGATTGATGTCGAATCTAGACAGGACCAGATGAAGCATCTAGACAGGACCATATGTAGCATCTAGACAGGATAAAATGTAGCATCTAGACAGGACCAGATGTAGCATCTAGACAGGACCAGATGTAGCATCTAGACCAGATGTAGCATCTAGTCAGGACCAGATGTAGCATCTAGACAGGACCAGATGTAGCATCTAGACAGGACCAGATGTAGCATCTAGACAGGACCAGATGTAGCATCTGGACAGGACCAGATGTAGCATCTAGACAGGACCAGATGTAGCATCTAGACAGGACCAGATGTAGCATCTAGACAGGACCAGATGTAGCATCTAGACAGGACCAGATGTAGCATCTAGACAGGACCAGATGTAGCATCTAGACAGGACCAGATGTAGCATCTAGACCAGATGTAGCATCTAGACAGGACCAGATGTAGCATCTAGACAGGACCAGATGTAGCATCTAGACAGGACCAGATGTAGCATCTAGACAGGACCAGATGTAGCATCTAGACAGTATCAGATGTAGCATCTAGACATGACCAGATGTAGCATCTAGACAGGACCTGTTGTAGCATCTAGACATGACCAGATGTAGCATCTAGACAGGACCTAATGTAGCATCTAGACAGGACCAGATGTAGCATCTAGACCAGATGTAGCATCTAGACAGGACCAGATGTAGCATCTAGACAGGACCAGATGTAGCATCTAGACAGGACCAGATGTAGCATCTGGACAGGACCAGATGTAGCATCTAGACAGGACCAGATGTAGCATCTAGACAGGACCAGATGTAGCATCTAGACCAGATGTAGCATCTAGACAGGACCAGATGTAGCATCTAGACAGGACCAGATGTAGCATCTAGACAGGACCAGATGTAGCATCTAGACAGGATCAGATGTAGCATCTAGACAGGACCAGATGTAATATAGACAGGACCAGATGTAGCATCTAGACAGGACCAGATGTAGCATCTAGACAGGACCAGATGTAGCATCTAGACAGGACCAGATGTAGCATCTAGACCAGATGTAGCATCTAGACAGGACCAGATGTAGCATCTAGACCAGATGTAGCATCTAGACAGGACCAGATGTAGCATCTAGACAGGACCAGATGTAGCATCTAGACAGGACCAGATGTAGCATCTAGACAGGACCAGATGTAGCATCTAGACAGGACCAGATGTAGCATCTAGACAGGACCAGATGTAGCATCTAGACAGTATCAGATGTAGCATCTAGACATGACCAGATGTAGCATCTAGACAGGACCTGTTGTAGCATCTAGACATGACCAGATGTAGGATCTAGACAGGACCTAATGTAGCATCTAGACAGGACCAGATGTAGCATCTAGACAGGACCAGATGTAACATCTAGACAGGACTAGGTGTAGCATCTAGACAGGACCAGATGTAGCATCTAGACAGGACCAGATGTAACATCTAGACAGGACTAGGTGTAGCATCTAGACAGGACCAGATGTAGCATCTAGACAGGATCAGATGTAGCATCTAGACATGACCAGATGTAGCATCTAGACATGACCAGATGTAGCATCTAGACAGGAGCAGATGTAGCCGAGCACACTCAAATGCTCTGGTCACTGACGCAGCTTTTCTCTAGTCCCCAGGTGACGCTGACTCAGCATTCTGCGTCACAGACCTCACCAGTGTGGGTGACAGTGGACAGCCCTGTCCATACAGCACAATTGGCCGAGCGAGTAATGGCAGCTGTTGGTGTAACAGCGACACACACATATACAACACATGTGCGGCTACGTGTATTCCCTGTAAGTTTAAAGCTTCTGCGTCGTATTATAACAAATTTATATAGCAACAATACCGTACTACAACAAATGTATATAGTTACAATACCGTATTATAACAAATTCATATAGTAACAATACTGTATTATAATAAACCTATATTGAAACAATACAGTATTATAACTTATCTATATAGACTAGTAACAATACAGTGTTATCATAAATCCATAGACTAGTAACAAGACAGTGTTATAACAAATCTATATAGACTAGTAACAATACAGTATTATAACAAATCTATATAGACTAGTAACAATACAGTGTTATAATAAATCTATAGACTAGTAACAATACAGTGTTATAACAAATCTATAGACTAGTAACAATACAGTATTATAACAAATCTATATAGGCTAGTAACAATACAGTATTATTACAAATTTATATAGTAACAATACCGTATTATAACAAATTTATATGGTTACAATACCGTATTATAACAAATTTATATAGTAACAATACCGTATTATAACAAATCTATATACTAACACTACCGTATTATAACAAATTTATATAGTAACAATACATTATTATAACATACTAGCCGTCCCGGCCAGGCCCAGCTCTGGCTTCTGTTTAAAACCTTTCTGTTAAAGACCATTACCTGTGTGTTTAGTAATCATCATAAATCCGGCATTTCCCATCCAAACCACAACCAACCAAAACCAAAACAACAAAACGCAAACATAACGCTAACACAATTACAAATACAAACGAAAACAAAAACCTAACAACAAACCCAACCACAACCACAAACAACAATACAAACACAAAGAAAAAACAAACAAAAAAGCAAACGAAATCAAAAACCTAACAGCAAACCCAACCACAACCACAAACATCAATACCAACACAAAGAAAAAAAACAAACGAAAAAGCAAACGAAAACAAACCAAATCCAAACGCAAAACCAACCACAAACACAAATACAAACCCAAAGAAAAAAACACAAACAAAAACGAAAAAAGAAAGAACAAAAACGAAACAAATCAAAACGCAACCACTAACGCAAACCCAACCTAAACACAAAGAAAGCACTAACGCGAACATAAACGCAAAGTGCTCACAGTCTAGCCCGGGGCGGAATCGCCTGTTTCAGCTTAATAAACGACTATAGTACTCCAACTTATTCATAGTCTTTTGCACTCACTTAAACGAACGCGCCCGTTTCAATTTAATGAACAATTATAATACTCCAAGCTTATCCGTAATATACCTACAACATTTGCACTTGATCAATCCCCGCTAATTATGTAATTATTTTTTTTCCCAACACCAAAACAAAGTAATAAAAAGTAAATTCTTTTCCACTAATGCAATGTTTTTTATAAAGGGAAGTAATTGTGTTTTCCTAATTTATCAATTGGAAGTAAGTGCTAAAGGACTAAATAAAGACATAATTAGAATTTTTGTAAAAGATGATATTTTTTAAACTTGTGTTTAATGAACATGCCGACAATTATCACTTTCAGTTTGAAAAATGAAAATTATTTCCCAACACTTTCAATATTAATTTTTTAACTCATAAATTTAGACCATAAGGACTTTAAAACCTAACACTTAAATCCATGGAAGTATCCGCGACAAACATTTAAACTTTCCATATTACAAGTTACATACAGAATTGAGCTTTATATATTAGATCTATATTAAAACAATACCGTATTACAACCAAAGTATATAGAAACAATACCGTATTTTAACTTATCAATATAGACTAGTAACAATACAGTATTATAACAAATCTATATAGACTAGTAACAATACAGTATTATAACAAATCTATATAGAGTAGCAACAATACCGTATTATAACAAATTTATATAGTAACAACACCGAATCATAACTAATTTTAAATAGTAACAATACCGTATTATAACAAATTTATATTGTTACAATACCGTATTATAACAAATCTATATAGTAACAATACCGTAGTATAACATTTGTATAGTAACAATACCGTATTTTAACAAATTTATATGGTTACAATACCGTATTTTATTAAATGTATATAGTAACAATACCGTATTATAACAAATTTATATAGAAACACTACCGTATTATAACAAATTTATATAGAAACACTGCCGTATTATGTTACGTTTTCAAAAAAAGATTATAACATCTTCTTTCCCAGTGTTTCTTCCAGACTTTTTTCTCCGGGGGGGGGGGGGGGGCACTTGATATTTTCGGGGGGGGGGCGGTCAACTTTTTTTCGGGGGCAGACGGCGGACACTAGTAAAAGTGTATGTTTACTATATAAATTCTATCTCGTTCGGGGGGGGGGGGGGGGCGGTAGACTTTCTTCGGTGGGCGGAGCCTCCCCCCCCCCCCCCCCGAAGAGATGCCTGGAAGAAACTCTGATCTAGCCCTTCTAGCATGTAGACCAGGGGAACCCCTGATGTAGACTAACAGATGAATTTTATGTGCAGACTTCATCTTCTATTTGTTCAATTCTCTCTAAGTGTGCAACAGAACAGTCACGGAGAGAAAAGGGACGATCGCTAGCCCTGGGTATCCGATTGCTAGCGGGGATATGAGCACATGTACCTGGACAATTCGAGGCTGGTTGGATCATGACATTGTTGCATTCAAGTAAGCCGCTATTATAGAAATAAATCTATTATTTACTTTAATAAATGAAATTGAAATTTAGAAGAGTGAACTAAGTAACTGTATATACGTAAAAATAGCTCACACGAGATAAATAAGGCTTGTAATGTTAAAAAAATAATAGAAAATAATGTTTCGCTTGGTAGCCTCGCGTACTTCAACATGTCGACAGTCACGTCGACATCCGGCAACTGTGCAACAGACTACATCGAGATATTTGACGGATACTCGGCCACCAGCAGATCCTTTGGCAAAATGTGTTCCCACAACCAGTCTTTGTTTGTGTCTACAGCCAATTACTTGCACGTCGTGTTTAGAACTGTGGGGACGGGGAGGTTTCTGGCCACTTATATAATACATTGTAAGTTGTGTCAACGTTGGCTTATGTTAATGTTTCAACTGAAAACATTTTATGTTGAATTACACCACAATAAAATTCAAGCCCGTGAAACGTTTGAACTGGGGATTTCATTTTTGAACCACCAAGGATAGTTTTAGTAAAGTTTCATGCGAATCAATTGCTATTTAAAAGCTCAAACCTAAATATTATAATTTTTAACATTTGACATTTTTTCAATGTGTTGTAATTCGATACATAATATTCTTCTAAAATAATTTAATTAAAAAGTAATATATAACATTAAAGTCAAACGTTATAAATTACTTTGTTTATTTTAATGGCTTTATTAATTTTTTAAATAAGTAGACTCTTTATCAGTATAGTAAAAACATAATTTGCTGCATTTTTACAACAAATTGTGAAGTATTTTAATATTTAACTTAAATAATCTTTCTGATTTTGCGAAAGCATGAAGGCATACAGTTAGTGTCTTTTGCTGAAATATTAAAGAATACATTATTTATTTTATTATTTTAGGTAGTGAAATAATAAAATGTTTTATGAAATCGTATATGGTTGCTTACGTTAAGAAATTAATACAAATATCTAGGATATGTTTAAACTGTGTTGAACTTATTGAGAAACCGAAGATTGGTCTAGTGTACTGTTAGTACTAAATTAAGCGCTAGTTTATTCTGATTTAGATTTTTGTTTCTGTTAGTTTGATGTTTGGTTTAAATAAACAGTTTGATTCAATTCTAACTTCCATTGGGTTTTCATTTAAACAAGCTTACATACTTTTTTCACTTGAAAATGCTAACATTTTGACAATATTTTCACATAAGAAAAGAGATTTTTGAGCGTTATTTTGGGGTGTCAGTTGGATTTAATATTTTAAAGTTAAATTTTAAAATCGATAATGATCCAAACACATTTGCTTTTTTGAATAGGTCTATATATTGGAAACTAGTAAACTAGTATCTGATGTAATTTAAAATTTACATGTTATAAAAGTATTAAGATAATTCTCTGTAGATAAATAAATAATTTTATTAATATCAGCATGAGCAATATCTTAAATATTTATGTAGTCAGAAGTAATCATTGGCACACAAACTCTCATCGTTTAAATATACTAAACAAAGTTTCTAGTATTTAAAAATGAAAACATGATAAAACTTTTGAATGTATTCAATGATTGGCGGGACCGAATAAACACAAAGAGCTTTTACATTTGTTGATCTGTTAATATCTAGATCAGTGGTTCTTTTAATGTCTAGATCAGTGGTTCTTTTAATGTCTAGATAAGTGGCTCTTTTAATGTCTAGATAAGTGGCTCTTTTAATGTCTAGATCAGTGGTTCTTAATCTTTTTGGAGGTACCAAACCCAAACAGTTTCATTTGCGCCTTCATCGAACTTTTTAAAATTGTTCTATTGTTCACACTGATAAAATCCGATCGTAAGTCAGGTGCGTGTCTTGACCTTGTAGTGAAGGAGTGAAGGCGGATGAATGGGGGTGAATGTCGTTCACTACAACCTCGGTCACTCACGAGATTGAGTGACTAAACCCAGGTTGAGAACGACTACTCTAGATGCTAGCTGGTTGGGGCGGCTAATATTGATACGATGTTTTAATATTGGGAATTTGTTTTCCCCGAGTAATTGTTTTCTAAGATACTTTTTACTATGTATAAGCAAGATGTAGCCTATATATATATATATATATATATATATATATATATATATATATATATATATATATATATATATATATATATATATATAAGATTCCCAGTTGACATTGGATGAGAGCAAGGGCTTTCTCTATAGTCCGGGATATCCAATAGGAAGCAGCAGCCACACGACATATAGATGGATCATTCAAGGCAAGCCGTGTACACATATTGTTATTAAGTAAGTGAGAAAGTTATCCTTTTCTAGTCAATCTAAATACTTTATGAACACATACAAAAATAAACGTACAAAGAATGTATCCTTGTGTGTAATATTACTTGTTAATTTTAAACATTTTTTATGAAGCATCACTAGTGTTCACATCGGTGCCAATTGTGCCAGTAACTATCTGAAAGTCTACGACGAAAAATTTTCCCTCTTACGGACAAGTTGTGCTTCAAATGTTCCTGTTGTAATGGCCTCGACTGCAAACTATTTATATCTAGAATACAAAACTGATGGCTCCACATCAAACAAAGGCTTTTATGGAAGCTACGAGATTAGAGGTATTTTATTCGAACATTTACCTGTATAAAAGTTATGTGATATAAACACTCAATTTACAATTGTAGTTCATGGCTGTGGGGAAAATGTCGGAGGGAAGAAAAAGCAATGTACTGCATCTTATACTGTGATAAAAAGTTTTGTTTGTTGAGATCAGCAAGTCTGCTATATGTGTAGTTTAAAAAAAAGTAATATTGAAAAACGAAAATATTGAAAGGAAAATACGTTTTCAATTGTCAATAGAGAGGGAGTTAAACTGCAAGGTGGGATGAAAAAAATTAAACACACATTTAGGAATCGTTTACTCTTACTGTAGTAAAAGTACATCACACCAAGTGCTTATACAAGATGTTCTCTCGTCTTGTCATAATTTGAGTTTTTGTTCCGAATCATTTAACAAAAATCTCGCTTGTTAAGCTTTTGTATTGAACTCATCTGTTGAAGTCCCGAAACGCACCTGTTATTTTGAAAGCATGCCTATTGTTTTATTGGGTTTTATTTTTCCTTGATATTGATTTAAGATGTAAATTCATTAGACTTGTCTTCTGTGATCTATGTAGTTGACAAGAAAGTGTTTTATCGTGCTGCTCTGCCTTGCATGTCGGCGTCATGTGTGTGTCTAGTCATGCAGCAGCTGTGGTCCTGCTTTACTTAATGACTGTGTGCTCATGTTGCTTGTTTCACTTTGTTTCATTTTCATTTCAGTAGCTACATATATTTAAAAAAACATTTTTTTAATCGCACAAAGCTATATTACTACATTAATGTCAAAATATAATACACATTAATTTTACGTGCCATTTTTGCAAGAGACTCTACCTCATCTGTGTTAACCCCTTAATGCCTGAATTATGTTACAAGCGTGTAAAAAATTATTTGTGCTGATTTTCTCTCATCATACTGACACTGAATTTCTCATTTGACCTATATTTGCTACTAGCCGTCCCGGCCAGGCCCTGCTCTGGCTTCTGTGAAAAACCTTTCTGTTAAAGACCATTACCTGTGTGTTTAGTAATCATCATAAACCCGACATTGCCCACCCAAACCACAACCAACCAAAACCAAAACAACAAAACGCAAACATAACGCTAACACAATTACAAATACAAACGAAAACAAAAACCTAACAACAAACCCAACCACAACCACAAACACCAATACAAACAAAAAGAAAAAACAAACAAAAAAGCAAACGAAAACAAAAACCTAACAACAAACCCAACCGCAACCACAAACACCAATACCAACACACAAAAAACAACGAAAAAGCAAACGAAAACAAACCAAATCCAAACGCAAAACCAACCAAAAACACAAATACAAACCCAAAGAAAAAAAACACAAACAAAAACGAAAAAAGAAAGAACAAAAACGAACCAAATCAAAACGCAACCACTAACGCAAACCCACCTAAACACAAAGAAAACACTAACACGAACATAAACGCCCGGGGCGGAATCACCTGTTTTAGCTTAATGAACGACTATAGTACCCCAACTTATTCATAGTCTTTTGCACTCACTTAAACGAACACGCCTGTTTCAATTTAATGAACAATTATAATACTCCAAGCTTATCCGTAAAATACCTACAACATTTGCACTTGATCAATCCCCGCTAATTATGTAATTATTTTTTTCCCAACACCAAAACAAAGTAATAAAAAGTAAATTCTTTTCCACTAATGCAATGGTTTTATAAAGGGAAGTAATTGTGTTTTCCTAATTTATCAAAGGGAAGTAAGTGCTATAGGACTAAATAAAGACATAATTATAATTTTTGTAAAAGATGATATTTTTTTTAAAACTTGTGTTTAATGAACATGCCGAAAATTATTACTTTCAGTTTGATAAATGAAAATTATTTCCCAAAACTTTCAATATTAATTTTTAACTCATAAATTTAGACCATAAGGACTTTAATTATCTAACACTTTAATCCATCGAAGTATGTCAACGACAAACATATTTATTTTTACATACAGAATTGAGCTTTATATATTAGATACACACAAAGCACATGAACAAATACTTTTCACATTTTCACGACAAAATTTCACATTCATCCGTTAGTCCTAGTCTAAAGAAGTTAAGGGAAAACCACATTAGCTTACTTATTGAAGACGATTTCAGCACGTCTTAAATTTAAAACAAACTTCAAGTTAGCATTCATATAACCAAGTAACCATGTCTGAAAGAAAAGCCGTAATCAAGAATGCTGATATGTCTGAGGATATGCAGCAAGATGCTGTGGACTGTGCTACACAAGCCTTGGAAAAATACAACATTGAAAAAGACATTGCTGCCTTCATTAAGAAAGAGTTCGATAAGAAATACAACCCAACATGGCATTGCATTGTTGGGCGCAACTTTGGCAGCTACGTAACCCATGAAACAAAACACTTCATCTATTTCTACTTGGGACAAGTTGCTATACTGCTCTTCAAATCTGGATGAAGTGTTAAAAACTATTATAGACATTTTTTATGGATTACTTCTGACTGGAGTCCTAGATCTGTTCATCTCATTGAAACAAAAAATGCTGTGGCGGTGTTAAGATGAAGTGATAAAATTTATAAAGTTTGTTGAAATCAAGGACTACCTAAATTTTTTTTTAATTGGAATGCCATTTGTTGAAATAAATTGATTTTTACAGTAAAAAAACAAAAAAAAAACACATGAACAAATACTGTCCTAAATGACAGTGTTCAGCTGTTGTATATTCGTCCATGCTCAATGCATGGGTACTTCGTACTACTGCTCTGGGTACTCAGTGCCACCGGTGTGGGTACTCACTGCTATTGTTGATAGTACCCAATGTTTCCGATTCGTGTTACGGCTATTGTACTCGACTGATTCTGCTATTGATTATCAATGACAGTGCTGTAGCTACATATTACTACTGGTATGGGTACTCAATGCTGAAACAGTGGGTACTGAGTGTTGAAGCCATGTGTACTGAGTGCTGAAGCTGTGGGTACTCACTGTTGAAGCTGTGGGTACTCAGTGTTACTGCAGTCGGTTCTTGGTGTCACTGCTGTGGGTACTCAGCGCTGGAGCTGTTGGTAATTGATAACGTTGATGTGGGTACTCAGCCTTAACAGTGGGTACTCAGTATCACTGCTGTGAGTGCTTAGTTCTCAAACTGTGATTGCTCAGTGTCACTGATGTTGGTACTCAGTGCTGAAGATGTGGGTACTCAATAACACTTCTGTCGGTACTAAATACCAGTATAATGCCACTAATGTCGGCATTCAATAGCACTGCAAAGGGTATGTTTGTCAGCACTCAACCTTACTGTATTTATTACGAGGTGTAGGTCTATGCTCAGTGTTATTATTGTCAGGGTCACTGTGAAGACCTTTATTTGGTGGTATCCAGGATAATGGTCCACCACCTCACTTCCTGTTGTCTATTTATTTTTTATGTTCTCCTAATATTTTACAATACTATTTCAAAGCTAATTTAGTTATATTGTACCCAGCAGCATGATTACATTATTCCAGCATCGCTCACTCTCTCCTGATGCCAATGTCAATGAAACAGGTGAACTCTACTTCACCTACCACATAGACCGTAACGTTCTAAAGTGCACTTTTATATATAGGCGAAGACTATATTGTAAATCCTTTACTTATTTATAATCATACTTGAATGAATGACAGCTTGGCGATGCATCGTATTTCGTTATATCTGCTTGGCACCCAAGTTTCATTTGTTGTCTTATTGCCGGATGTCGCGAAAATGCGACAAACCGTAATTAGCAGATAACTTCCAAAATTATTCTCATATGTGATTTATATTGTTTATATACATAAAAGAATGAATAATAAAGTTATTAGTATTTTTGTAGCAAAAACGGATCACCTATTTAGTAATAATAATCAATATAAGTAGGCTGAATTCACAAAGTCAAAAAATTTACGATGCGCGTGAGTCAAGAGAGTGTGACGTCATAAATGTCGACTTGACAATGTGACCATTGGTACCGATAAGACCGTTTGGATGTACCCAATACACAACGACCGGCAGCAGTAGGATAAATGTACCAATGCGCAAACGCTATGCGCTAAAAAAAAAAACTCGACTGTCGGCGTCAAGGGGTTAAACAGGCAGAGGCGTAGCGACCCCTTCCGGCGCCCGGGGACATACTTTTAATTTGGCGCCCCCCCCCCCCCCATATATATATATATATATATATATATATATATATATATATATATATATATATATATATATATATATATATATATATATATATATATATATATATATATATATATATATGAATATGTGTATGTATATTATACCGCGGTCGGCCGAAAAAAATTTCGTTTGCGCGCAGTAACGGAAGTCTTTTTGGAAACGCGATTTTGAAGATACCGGTGAAAGCGGGAAAAAGTTTTATTAACGCTGTTTTCTTGTTTCTGTATCACGAGCGGTTCATTCTGTACAATTTTTTTTAAAGTTACAAATAGGGGAAGTAAAATAGTTTTGATTAGGGTTGCCAGATACCTTTTCCGAAAATACTGGACACCTTTCCATCCTTCCCTTCTCAGGTAAGCCGCAAAGCAGAAGAAGGGGGGTAATTATTCATATACTTGTCCAGTATTTATATTTATTTTATCCTGGACAGTCTGCTCAAGTACTGGACTGTCCAGTTCAAAACTGGACACCTGGCAACCCTAGTTTTGATGCCACGGTAAAAGGTAAAGGTAAATGTAGGCCGTAGGCTGTATGTTGTCTGCTTAAAGTGTTAATTAAATTAGTAGTGTTTACTAGTATTTCTTCTAGTAAAAAGCTGTCCACATCTGCTCCTATGATAACGTCATGGACACGGCAGGTCATTTGTTCCTTTACTGGGTGAGCTGTATTTGTTAGCACACCATAATCGCCCCTAGTCATACTTAAAAGCAGGACTAACCGTGGCGGGTTAACAAAGTTTATCTGTAATTTGTTGCATCGATATTTTTATTTAATTATTGATTGTAGTAGCACTATACTGTGACAGTGACTATACCAACGCCACTATGATATAGTTTAGGCCTACACTTATTTTTACTTTCTCGTATATACGAAGTATAGAGAAAGTATTGTAATCGTGCACAAAAATCACTTGAAATTTTAACACTTTTCACCGTATTACACCTCAGTCCTTCATCACATCCGAAGTATAGAGGACTTATTTTAATCGGGCAAAAATTATCAATCCAGATTATCAAAATTAAGAGGTTTTATGCGTAATCCAGTCTGAAAAACTGGGCTTTGCAATTCTGTCCGTATGTCTGTGTGTCTGTGTGTGTGTGTGTCCGTGTGTAAACACGATAACTTGAGTACCGTTACAGCTAGGTTGATGAAATTTCATATATAAGTATTTAATCAAAATCGTAGATCCGTATCAACTTTTGAGCGATTTCCGATAACCGGAAGTGGTACTTTTCCTACTTTGAATTTTTCAAAAGCCTATAACTTGAGTACTATTTCAGATAGATAAATGAAATTTCATACGTAAGTAAAAGATCTAATTCTCTACCTTCTATTAAATTTTGAGTCATTTCCGTTGACTGGAAGTAGTACTTTACGCTACTTCCGATTTCTCAAAAAACTAATGTAAATTTTAAAAGTAATAATAATATTGCGCACTATTATGCGCTTTTTTATTTCGCGTTCACTTGGTGTGCAATTAATTTGTCTACGAGATTTTATTCTATTTTTAAAACTTTAAGTATTTAAAATGGATTAAAAATCATGTCTATAGCCCGAGTTCCCATCCCCTGTTATTTTATATAAGAATATTCGAGAAAGTTTAGGGGAGATCACTCCCGGTTTATTTCTCTTCAGTGCATTCAGTAATATATCTATAATGAAATAATCATAATTTTTGTCAGTCAAGTCAGGACGAAAAAGAAGTGGGGCCCAATGTCGTAAAAGAAAAAAGGAAGCCGGATTAGCATCAAAAAATTCAATTACATTACTTGCTAGCTTTTTAAAGAAAGCCAAGAAGAATGTAACTGAATCTGAAAACCCCTATTCTTCAGAATCAGAAGATGATGTTTATCAACCACCTATTTAAAAGCCTGTAGATGATAACGTTGAAAACAATGAGGACGCAGAGAAAAACATAATTCATGCAGACGTTGCTGTGTATGCTGAAAAAAACTCAAAAAATACTGAAGACCATGATGTTAACATTAAACAGGTCCTACATAATGATGAACTTGTTGACAGTAACGGGGTAGATGAGACAGAAGAATTTTCTGATAACAAACTTGAAAATACTCATTATGATGTGGTTCCTGCTATACTAAGGTTTCACGATGTTGGTTACTTAGAATTTGACGAAACGACAAAGCTATCGAAAGTATCACAGTCTCTTCGCAATGAAATGATTACTCTTGGATCCTTACCTTTCCAGCACACAGACAGTTTAGCATCAGTATGTGGAGAACGTTCAATTACATCAGCGTGGTTTAAACGTCGACTAGCAAATGGAGAGGAAGTAAATCGTTCGTGGCTAATATATTCACCAACCAATAAAGCTGCTTACTGTTTCTGTTGTCTATTATTTACATCATCCACTTCAAACTCACTAGCTTCGTTTGAGTTAACAAACGGTTTCAACAAGTGGAGAAAGCCAGAAAAGTTAAAATCACATGAAAACAATTCTAGCCACCGCATAGCCTTTACTACTTGGAAGGAAGCTGAACGAAGGTTAGTTGATGGTACTGGAATAGACGCAGAGGTTCAAGCTCAGATTAATTTGGAAAAACAACGTTGGCGAGATGTTTTGCACAGAATACTCAATTGTATTAAGTTTCTAGTTTCGCAAAATTTGGCACTACGTGGCCATGAGGAAAATTTGAATGCGGATGATGATAAAAATGTTGGAAACTTCCTCGCGCTCATCAAACTTGTAGCTAAGTACGATCCACTGTTGGCAAAACACATCCAACACGCAGAAGAAAATCCAAAATCAGTTTCATATTTCTCACCAGAAATCCAGAATGAATTTATTCACATACTTGCGTCGGCTGTAAAAAAAACAATTGTTGAGTGATATCAGGAAAAACAAATATTATGGTCTTTTACTTGATTCAACTCCTGATCTAGGACATCGGGAACAGCTTTCGCAGGTCATAAGATTTGTGGATGTGGATTTTCAAACTAAAAAAATAACTATCAAAGAAACATTTTAGGTTATATCGAGATACATTCAAAAGATGCAGCAAGGCTAAAGAGAGTCATCGTCGAGAAACTGAAAGATGAAGGCATACCTCTAGCTGACTGTCGGGCACAATGTTATGACAATACTAAAATCTGACGGCATACCTTTAGCTGACTGTCGGACACAATGTTATGACAATACTGAAATCTGACGGCATACCTCTAGCAGACTGTCGGGCACAATGTTATGACAATACTGAAATCTGACGGCATACCTCTAGCTGACTGTCGGGCACAATGTTATGACAATACTGAAATCTGACGGCATACTTCTAGCTGACTGTCGGGCACAATGTTATGACAATACTGAAATCTGACGGCATACTTCTAGCCGACTGTCGGGCACAATGTTATGACAATACTGAAATCTGACGGCATACCTCTAGCAGACTGTCGGGCACAATGTTATGACAATACTGAAATCTGACGGCATACCTCTAGCTGACTGTCGGACACAATGTTATGACAATACTGAAATCTGACGGCATACCTCTAGCTGACTGTCGGGCACAATGTTATGACAATACTGAAATCTGACGGCATACCTCTAGCTGACTGTCGGGCACAATGTTATGACAATGCCGCTGTGATGACTAGGCTTATATCTGGCCTTCAACGACGAATATGTGACAGAAATCACAGAGCATTGTTTGTCAACTGTGATAACCACAGCTTAAACTTAGCTGGAGTACACTCAGCTAAGCAGGATCCACTTGTCGTCACATTGTTTGGAACACTTGAAAGCATATATTCATTTTTCTCTCATTCAACAATTTGTTGGGAAGAGTTTAAAAAAGCTATGCCTATCACAGTAAAACAGGAGTGTGAAACACACAGGAGTGCATATCAGAAGCTGTTAAATCTATCCATGAAGGACTGGATGATCTAGTAGGGCTTCTAGAAAAATTGTCGGAGGACACAACTATGACGTATGAAACCAGAAGTGGCGCAGAACAGTTACTGACGTGCGTATTGAATTTTAACTTCATAGTTTTATTACATTTCTGGAATGTCATTCTTGGGAAAATTGATCGTGTACAGAAGCGCTTACATGACCCTACTATCAACTTCAAGGAAGCAGCAACTGATATTGAATCTTTTGAACAAGAATTGGTCAGGCTTCGGAAAGATTTAAGCCAAGATGCTGTTGAAAACGCCAAAACAAAATGCACAGCCTGGGGGATTGCGATGGACAGAAGAATTAAACGACGTGTGAAGATGCCTGGAGAACTGTCAAGAGATGCTGGACTTTCATCAGAAGAAGAAATTGTGCGCGTTATGAAGGGGTATTTGATCGACTTCAACAGGAGATGTCAACACGCTTTTCACGACTAAAAGACCTGAACACAAAATTTGGGTTTCTGCTGGATGTTAAGACACTTTTATCCGACACAGATGTCGATAAAATTCGTCGAAATTGCACAGATTTTGAAAACTTCTACGACACGGGCATCAATGGTCACGAACTTTACACAGAAATTAGAGATTGCAGAATGCTGCTCAGAAACCGGAATGAAGCTCTACCAGAAACTCCTTTGGATCTTCTTGGTTTTATTGTGTTTTATGGAAACGATGTATTTCCAAATCTACGAATTTCACTGCAACTTTTATTAACAATAGCAGTTTCAATTGCAAGCTGCGAGAGGTCCTTCAGCAAATTGAAACTTATTTTGTCGCATTTACGTGCGCCAATGGGTCAAGGTCGTCTCAGTGATCTTGCTCTTCTTAGCGTTGAAAGAGAAACATTGGAAAAAACAGATTTTGATTGCGTAATTGACCAGTTTGCGACTGTGAAATCAAGAAAAATAAATCTTTTGTAGACTATGTCAACCAGTTTACGACATTGACTGAGTGGATCATGTAGTATAATTTGTATAATTTGCTTCTATAAATAAAATTTTTAATTAAAATTTATATTGTTTGCCTTATTTAGTGTAATAGAGAAATTCGATTAAACGGGGACAGGGCTGGGGCGCCAATTTTACAGTTTGTCCCCTGACGCAAAAAATCGTAGCTACACCTCCGCCTTTCGATTTTAATCGGCAAAAAAGCGCGCTCTCTCTTCCCCCTCCCCCCCCCCCCCCACCAAATATAAGAAAAGCTGGAAAGCGGGTTTTGCCGGTCACTGTTTCTTAAGGGCATTTATTTTGCAGTTACACTGTCAATGTAGAAAACAGTTAAATCAGAATGTAAAAGATCGTAGCCGTTAAATGTCTTGACTTTGACAGTTATAATTCAAAACTGCAGCTAAAATGAGCTTATAATTTTTTTTCCAACCCATTTTGGCGCCCCCCCCTAGGGTCGGCGCCCGGAAACATGTACCCCCCCCCCCCCCCTCGCTACGCTACTGTAAATAGGACACATTTTATAGTGAGGAGAACAAATAGAACCCACAATAGGAATTTACTTCTTATGTTTCCAGAAACGTTGCACGTTTACCAAGCTGACTCTGGCTATGTGTTCAGTCCAGGTTTTCCATACAGATACAACGACAACGTAAACGTTTCGTGGTTAATCAGGGCAAGTGCAGGAACATTTGTTCACTTCAAGTAAGACACTCACTTTTTATTATGTTGGTTTTTTTTCACTATCAAAAGAGAATCATTTTCAGATGTTACAATCACATGTTTCAAGACCTTGTTTAACTAACCTGTTATGTGTGTGTTTCTGTACGTAGCATCAGTAGCATACAATTAGAAGGAAGCTATCCCGGCTGCCCACTCGACTACATCCAAATCTACGACGGTTCTAACACAACATCAGCGGCTTTCCCTCGACTGTGTGACAAGCACGCACAACATAGTCTGATAGTGTCTACCTCTAATGAGATGTTCATTGTGTTTAAAACTGACCGCTCAGTCACATATACAGGTTTTAATGCAAGCTTTTATGCACAAGGTAGATAGCAATTAAAAACAACTGCTAATTAGCCTCAGTGTATCTTCTAGACTTTTTGCTCCGGAGGGGGGTGGTGGTGGTGCGGACAACATTTACCAGGGGGGGGGGGGCGGACACTGGTAAAAGTATGTTTTCTATATCAATTCAATTTCGGTCGGGGAGGAGGTGCGGGGGGGGGGGGGGGTCGGTAGACTTTCTACCGCCTGGAAGAGACTCTGATTACACTGTGCGCTTAGTGTAGTGTCTGAAAATTAAATTCATAATGAAAGAAATAATATTCAGAGAAATACAAAGATAATATAAGATTTAACATATTGAATAGATAAATAATTTACGCTGTACATATTTTTATTTTAATCGTGATTACTTAAACGAAATGGTATATATATATATATATATATATATATATATATATATATATATATATATATATATATATATATATATATATATATATATATATATATATATATATATATATATATATATATATATATATGTAAGCCCTGCTAGGGGGGGATACCTTAAAATCTATCTACCCTTCCCTAGGCTTATCTATCACTACTGTCCGGTCAGTGCAAGCCCGGCTAAACCCAGGCTGGTTAATAACCTAACCTTAGTCTAAATTAAAAACAAAAAAACTTTTAACAATTTAATAAAATTTATTTCATGGAACCAATCAAAATATTAAAAAAAAAGAATAGATAAAAACTGACACAAAACAGACCAAAACAAAACCAAACAAAACAGTTTATATACAACAAAACATTACGTTCGACCATCTGCTGGTGTTGCAACGACTTATGATGTCTAGGATGGTCCAGGCCCTGACACACAGAAACCTCCCTTCATCCATTCTCGACATCCAAAAGTCCACACCAAACAAAACACTACGTAAAACCACTACGTACAATACGTTACGTACAATACATTACGTAGAAAATACGTACACAAACTTTTTACATCAAACAAAACAATTCATATATAACAAAACACCCAGCCAAGTTGCCCAAGCAACCTCACTGGAAGGGGGGGGGGAAGAGAAAAATAAAAGGAAAACATAAGAAAAATGCATGGTAATGGCAGATATATACATAAATATATACACAAGTTCAAAATGCTACCTACTAATACTATCTAGCTAAAGCCTCGAGTAAAACTAATTCCTACTATCACAATTCTAAAGCAATTCTCAAAAACACAACTAACCACTGTCTAATCAAGAACTAGCAACTTAAAAATAACGTGTAAACAAATTCATTGTAGAACCAATCTTTCCTACACAAGGAGCAGCCCGAAGCCATTGGTCTACATAAACAATATCCATATTGATAACATTAAAGTTAACACACTCCGCTAAGGCCCCAATGAAGGCAGACACAAAGCAAGCGATACTCAACATGACGTTGCACGAAACAGCACACACATTAATTTTAAACAACCTAAAACTCGAGGCAACTAAAATATACTAATCTAATTACTGTCTAAAACAACTGACTATTGACTAAGCCAATCCTAGTCAATAACACATCATAAAACAATCAGGTAAATGCACACACGCATTCACACCAGTTTAGGAAACACTCCTAAACACACTGACCTAAACCACGTGGTCCGAAACACACGCCACGGGTTTAGAAAACACAATAATACATTTTTTTAAAAATAACAAAATAACACACCATGTGCATACCAGACATGCCGATGCTCACTATCTCGTTTTAGACGAAAATGAAAGAAAACGAGAAACATCGGCAGTCGCATTCATACAAATCACATAAAGATAAAGTATAAAAAAACAAATACCTCCACGCGTGAGGTGCGCCACGCGCCCACACAGAAATCTGACCCGACCTACATCTCGCCGCGGGTCAAAAAAAGGAAGAAAATCATCCGACCCGTCAATTTATACTGACCGCTTCCGACGGAAGGGGGACCCCGTGGCCTTTCCCCATTGGACCACCATGCACTCACAGATTCAAACCAAATAAATTAATACAAAATAATCCATTCACCCGCTCACATTCACCCCTTTTTAAAATCTTACAGTCCCTGTAAGACAAAAAAAATTGCATAAAACAATCTTAAAATAAAACATGCACCCATCTCTTACACCAAGCCTATAAGCTTGAATGCAAGAAAAACGAAACAATGTACAATAACATTAATCTTGCGTCTCTGTGCTCCCTAAAAAAACTCAAGGCACCAAGATAGAGTTCCCTTCACTGAGGGCTGATCCGCGCTACTAGTCCTGTCGGTCGTTCATCCGGAAGGACGAGGGGGGAGGGTCAGCCTAGACCCGCCCGCTACTAATGACACGCCGTTGCAACGTCTCATCTGTACACGCATTCTGGTCTTGCGTCACCGTCGGCACACCGGTGGAGCGTCCGCTAGGTCGGTCCGGAGATGGCGCAACCGCCTTTCACCACTGGCTCTCCGACTGTTACCCGCCCCCAACGATCGTGCCTCCGCTTCGACACACCTGTGGGGCGGGTGTTCAGTAGCCCTCTTTGTGGGTCAAGGAATTGACGTCATAGGCCTCTCGTTGGTAGGGAGCGTCCGCTTGGTTGGGCCAGGTGGTGACGCAACCGCCTTGCCCCACTGGCTCTCGTGCTGTTGCCCGCCTCCACACACCTGTGTGGCGGGTGTCCAGTAGCCCTCTTTGTGGGTCAAGGGGTGTTCGCTGTAGGCCTTTCGATAGTAGGTCTGCCTCACACACCAGATCACGCGCCACACACCGCGCCTTGTCCCGCCTAGCACACTGGAGGCTCACCAATGCACATCTCTCCGCCAACCTGACTGGGTGTTTTAACAACAAACAATTCCTACACTAAACAAAAACTAAACACAAATGGTTCCATAAAGGGCCTATCAAGAAAAAAATGTATCTAAACTACACTAGCCCTAGAAAAACAAAAATTTAACTAGACTAAAGCACTGACCCCACTCGTGCTACCAATTTGTAAGCCCTGCTAGGGGGGGATACCTTAAAATCTATCTACCCTTCCCTAGGCTTATCTATCACTACTGTCCGGTCAGTGCAAGCCCGGCTAAACCCAGGCTGGTTAATAACCTAACCTTAGTCTAAATTAAAAACAAAAAAACTTTTAACAATTTAATAAAATTTATTTCATGGAACCAATCAAAATATAAAAAAAAGAATAGATAAAAACTGACACAAAACAGACCAAAACAAAACCAAACAAAACAGTTTATATACAACAAAACATTACGTTCGACCATTTGCTGGTGTTGCACCGACTTATGTCTAGGATGGTCCAGGCCCTGACACACAGAAACCTCCCTTCATCCATTCTCGACATCCAAAAGTCCACACCAAACAAAACACTACGTAAAACCACTACGTACAATACGTTACGTACAATACATTACGTAGAAAATACGTACACAACAAACTTTTTACATCAAACAAAACAATTCATATATAACAAAACACCCAGCCAAGTTGCCCAAGCAACCTCACTGGAAGGGGGGGGGGGGGAAGAGAAAAATAAAAGGAAAACATAAGGAAAATGCATGGTAATGGCAGATATATACATAAATATATACACAAGTTCAAAATGCTACCTACTAAGACTATCTAGCTAAAGCCTCGAGTAAAATTAATTCCTACTATTACAGTTCTAAAGCAATTCTCAAAAACACAACTAACCACTGTCTAATCAAGAACTAGCAACTTAAAAATAACGTGTAAACAAATTCATTGTAGAACCAATCTTTTCTACACAAGGAGCAGCCCGAAGCCATTGGTCTACATAAACAATATCCATATTGATAACATTAAAGTTAACACACTCCGCTAAGGCCCCAATGAAGGCAGACACAAAGCAAGCGATACTCAACATGACGTTGCACGAAACAGCACACACATTAATTTTAAACAACCTAAAACTCGAGGCAACTAAAATATACTAATCTAATTACTGTCTAAAACAACTGACTATTGACTAAGCCAATCCTAGTCAATAACACATCATAAAACAATCAGGTAAATGCACACACGCATTCACACCAGTTTAGGAAACACTCCTAAACACACTGACCTAAACCACGTGGTCCGAAACACACGCCACGGGTTTAGAAAACACAATAATACATTTTTAAAAAAATAACAAAATAGCACACCACGTGCATACCAGACATGCCGATGCTCACTATCTCATTTTAGACGAAAATGAAAGAAAACGAGAAACATCGGCAGTCTTAACCGATTTCAACTGCAGAAATTTCGCTCAAACTTTATATTTCGCCCCCTATGATTTTTTCTTTCGCATAACGTCAAGAAAATATTAAATACACGCAGACTGCTAAAACATATTAAAAAGATTAATGTCAAATATCATTTTCGTTTAAATTCCCAGAAAAAGTGGATACATTTTAATAACATAATAACAGTAGGGTAGAAAAATTAAATTAATTTAACTATTTTCTAACTTTGACAAGGAAGGTAATTAAAAAATAAATTAAAATCACGCTAATAAAAGAAAATGTGAATGGAATTAGTGTTGCAATAATATAATTAGCAAAATGTGAATGCAAATTTGTACGGATGTGGAAGAGGAAATTATTGTTAAAAAGTTATAATTAGCATGGATTGATATCTATAATATTATCTATGAATAAACTGATTCCTTCCTCCCTACGATGGCAACTTTTACAACCTCTCTGTGTACTATAAAGCGTTTGTTACAATTTATATATATATAATTCTCTTCTTGGAGACGTTAGAAAACAAGCTGTAAGCGCGCTCCCTACTACCCCCACTCAGTGGCGGAACTAGAAAAAAAAGGCTCCCCCGTAAAAAAAATTTTTTTTTTGGCCCCCCCTATATGTATATATATATATATATATATATATATATATATATATATATATATATATATATATATATATATATGTATATATATGTATATGTATATATATATATATATATATATATATATATATAAGTAGCCCGCTTCTCAAAATTTTAAATAGTCTATTACCTGAGTATTTTAATCTATTTTATAGCAATGTATAACCACTCTGAGATAACGAACCAGACAACAATAAGTCCGAACTCATTTCTTTTTTTTTTTTTTTTTGTTTTTTTTTTTTTTTGAAATATTTTGATTTAATGATGAGAATTGTAAAATTTTGGGTATTTATTAATACGTGGTTGTTTTTTTAATGCAAAAATATACCTATATTTTTGTAGGATATTTAAAAACTTTAAAAGAATTATGGTTTATAACAATAATAAGTAAAAATATTATAATTTACACAGCAACCTCAACTGTTAAATAGTTTGTTAAATACGTTCAGTGTCCGAACTCATTTCGTTTTTTTTTTTTTTTTTTTTTTTTTTTTTTTTAAAATCAGTAATAATAATTTATTTGATAGATTTTACACAGCATCAAAGACATGAACATCAATTGCATATATAATAATCAAATGGAGAAAATAAAATGGCATAAGAACTAGACTAAAATAAGGTGTGCAAACTAGGTTTCTCTTGACTGCTTAGTTTACTGTGCTCTGTCCTTAGCTGAGGAGTCAAAAGTTCACATTGTAGACAGAAATAGAAACCACCGTGGGAGAAGTGTCTCTGTAATACACATTACTGATCTATCATTCCAAAACTTTCCATGACATAAAATTGACCCTTGGCAAAGAGGGCACGCTACCTTGAAAAATCCGCCAGTCCGGTTGAGTGGAGGGAAATGTGTGTGTGTGGGGGGGGGAGGGTGAGGTGTGTATCTCTTTCTACCATTCAGGTTGTGCACTTTTAAAAACCTGGGAAACAGAAGACTGTTCTAATGTTAAATTACTTGGGGGCTGATGGAGTGATGTTTAGCTTGAGACTGTCGATATTAATTATGCATCTAGTTTATTTGCTTCTTCTGTAGTTCCAATTTTAGTTTCCTGTAAAAGTAGGATGTCAATATTGTGTTTATTTATTATGTTGTTTATATAATGTGTTTTGTCCCTAGCCCCCCTGATGTTCAATGTTGCCAGAGTTAGCATGAATTATTTGGGGTTTTCTTTCGAACATCTGTTTCTGGAGGGCTGGATGGTGGTGGTCTTTTAATTCCAAACCTTCCAGCCGTTGGTTTGCTATCCCGTTGGGCCCTGGTCACGAACCTTTGAGGTGGCTTTACTGTAGGTAATTGATTTTTACTTGAACTGATTGCTTGACTATATGACAGTTGACCTGATACCTTTGTTGCTGATATACTTTGTGAGCTTTTAATTTCCTTTAGCGGTTTCGTTATGTTTTCTGAACTAGAGTTATCTTGAAGAATATTAGTTATTGTTTCGTCGACAGCCTCCAAATTTTCGTGATTCCCATCTTTTTGAGACCCGGTTACTATGGAATTCCTGGTTGCTATTGTCTCCATGGCTTCGGCCTCTATGGTGGTTTCTGTTACGCTTTCGTTAACTTGCTGCGGTGCTACAGTAGTATGATGTGCTTCAGTTTGGCCATCTACTTCAAAGGCATCTTGTACCTCTCTGTGCCTTGCTTCTCTAAACATTTCATTTTGTCTTTCTCCGTCAACATCATAACTATCCCAATGCTTTAAGAAATTTCTATTGTTACTTAGATGCTCCCTAACTTCTTCTTTATCATTTGCATCCCAAGGCTCAATTGCCCTGTACTGTCCATCTACTAGCTGGACGCCGTCAAGAGCGCGAGTCCTCAAATGCTCACACATTTTAGGCAGGTGTCTGTCTGTGTTGCAGTGGCAACATTGCATCCTCCTCCCATTGAGGATTATAAGGACTCTACTCTCCTTGTTGGCCTCATTTGTAAGTATAATATAGTGTGGCACACTCTCCACATCTTCTTTCTGCAGAGAGATGGTGAATTGGACCACATTTGATTGGTCTATTCTCTTAAATGTTGGTGTTGAGTCCTGACTGCTTATAGATTTCAGAATCGCCATTATATCATCGTCACTTGTCTTGGAAGGCAGCCATTTCAGCATGCCCCTTTGCCCAGATTTATCGGCGTGGGTTATTTATATTCTCTGCACTCTGTATCTGGATGTTACTCCAGGTGGCAAATCTCTGTGAAATTCTTTTAGGTGCATTTTCTCATATAGTTCCTTTGATCTAATGGTGACATACCATTTACGCAGTGTCCCATAGTTATACAGAACTTCAAATTCAACTGGTGATAGGCTACATAACATACATAGCTCTCTTTTTAGTTCGTCAGCTGTGAGAGTAGCTAAAGAAAAACCCTCTTCTATGAAAATCTCTAGAGTTTTTGGCGCATGTCCTGCCATGCCGAACTTAGGCAGGAATAGCCGTTTGATGTATTTTTCCGACATAGTTGTGCGTGAGGCCCACCCGGGGCCAGGCAACACACACAAGAAATAAAAAAGAAAAAAGTACTTACAATGTATAAAATGTGAAGAAAAAAAATAACACACACACAATGTTCCAAATGGAAATACACACGAGTTTAAATAAATAGAGATGAAATTAATCCTCTTAATATATATGATTATTTTTAACTTTACGAAATAGGGAGGTAATGTGAACTCATTTCGTGCCCGCAATAATCGTGTTTTACTAATGTTTGAATAACGTCTATATGTTTACTGATCAAATTTATATAAACACGTAAGTTTGATTTTGAAATGGTTTCTCGCGTTATGTTTATTTTTATGATTTTTTTGTATTTATATTATTAGTTTTGAATACATTCATTTTTATAGCTATAGGATTCTTTAATATGCTTTATTGAAATAATAATTAAGAGAATAAATGGCTCTTTAATTTACGTAGTACAAAACTATTTAAATGAGCTTTATGGGCACCCGTGTTTTGATGAAGTGCAGTAAGTCATGGAAGTAGTGTGAACGTTTGCCTATCTTTCAAAGTAGGGCTCTTGTAGATTTTATATTTTTCTACGCAACAGTGTGTGTTAGTTACTGTAGAACAATCACTGCTACAGTAGACCTGTTTGTTTTTTTACAAAACTACTATCAGGGTGCACGAAAAAAACATTATTTATGAAAAGAAAATTCATTGTTTTTTGGTCGGAATTGGGCCCCTAAACGTCGTGGGCCCCCCCGCATTGCGGGGTCTGGCGGCACTGTAGTTCCGCCCCTGCCCCCACTCCTACATGGTCTGGTGAGCTGTCGTTCACGCTAAATGTTTACAATCGTAGAGCCGGGTTTAGTGACGGCTATTAGGGGCAGATAATTTAGTTTGAAACGATTTTAAACTTAGGGGAAGTAACTAAGAGGAGGCTGCTTCTTTCAGGGGGGAGGGGGTAGGGGCTGGTGAAAGGGGGGGGGGTTATCGTCCTTAAAGAGCTACTGATAGTGTTTTAAAGCAAATATATTCAGTGGCAGAATTGTTACTGTCGAATTCACAAATTATGAATTACTGAAAAGTAGAAAATAAAATAACTAAATAGCGGCGTATGATATGCCGCGGGTCGGCTCGTGTTTACTTATTTCTTTTTCCTTTTCTCACCTATTACTAAAACAGGTAAAGACAAGACCCTCTATGAGTCGGGTAAATTGGCCAGTCCAGGATATCCTTTAAAATATCTAAATTCACAAACATTGTCATGGACACTGGTCACTCGTATAGGAACGTATTTGGTTTTAAAGTAAGTCATCTTAAAATTGACTGTCTAAAAAAAAATTATTAGATATAATTCTTTAAAGCTATCTTTCTTTGGAATCTTAGGATATTTTATGCCTCGAGATCTCATATAACCGTAGGTTATACGTTAATGTTACATGTAGTTGGCTGGTCGTCCCAGTGTCAGCAACTCATTTTGGTATCGATCTCTAAGTCGGGTCTCCGCTATATTTTTTGACCAATTTGTTTTTTTTTACCTGATGATTCAGTGAAGATTGTGTGCATTTATGCTAGGTGGTTTCCTATGTATATAGTCAATACATCGCTGTTTTCTTTGGAAAATCTAGTATTCATCTTCATACGGTCGTTGCATTGCTGGGTGCTTTAGTCTCCCCCACCCCCATATAGTGTTAAATGGGAGTTGATTGCATAAACTTTGAATGTTTTACGTTGATTTTTTTATTCAGACTCAACCATCCTACATTTTTAATTGCGCTGTTGGTTTTCATCCGCGTTTTTTATTTGTTATTGGGTTGGTGTGTCTGAGTGTAAGTATTCGTGTGTGTGCGTTGTGCGTACGTGTATGTGTGTCTGTGTGAGTGTAAGTGTGAGTGTGTGTGTGTGTGTGTCATTAAAGAATCAATTTTACTCCAGACCACTCGTTGTACCCGATTTTGTTTTTCTGGAGACTTCTTCATGATTAAAACAATAGCCAGTTTGAAGGCCTCTTTTATTCGTTTAAATAATAATACTCTGTTGAAATCTTACTTGGGATTAAAATGGTAAGTAAAGCAGCATCAAAGGTCAACTTTTATAGAATGATGGATAAGATAAACCTCTGTTGCCGGACTAGTCAATGTCCACTATATGACTATATATTTTACAGCATTTCATATTTACAAACACAAGGAGATGGTAAATCATGTGTATCAGATTATGTGAAAGTTTACGACGGTTCTAGTACAAGTTCTAGAACATTAGGAACGTTCTGTGGCAGTGTGGCTCCTGTAGTGGTGGCGTCAACATCCACACACATGCACGTGACGTTTACAACAGACTCGTCTTCAACTTATACGGGGTTCTATGGAGAGTTCTTCTCTCAAGGTAACACTTTACCTGATATCAAATGTAACGTGTGTATATTAAAATAAATATTTACATATATATATATATATATATATATATATATATATATATATATATATATATATATATATATATATATATATACATATATATATATATATATATATATATATATATATATATATATATATATATATATATAATATCTTTTTACTTAACAGGAACAAGCAACACATTTTTGCGGCACAAATATGGATATATAGTTAGTCCAAGTTTTCCACTGGGCTATATTTATAGAAAAACATTTACATGGTTGATCAGTGGAGAACATAATACACATGTTTTTTTTAGGTAAGTTGTTTTATTTTAAGTGAATTGTGTATTTTCAGACTTTCATTTTCTAAAAAATTATGTTTTGTTGACTGAAATGTATCAATTTAGGTTATTATTTTTGTAATTGTGTTTGTATGATATATTTGTTGCGCGGATTTATCACTCAGCCAACCACACCGCCTCCCTTGTTAGCGTCCACAAAACACGACTTGATAATGTATTCCCCTTTCCCACTTGAAGGCCAGAATATGATGTTCCAAAAGGACTGGCGCTATTCGGCTCAAAGAAAGTCATTAAAAACTATATAGGGTGCAGTGGGTAAAATGGGATATTGGTTTGGTTTGGTTGAGTGCAGCCCACAGACCCTTCTCCATTGGTAACTAGTTCGTTACCAAAGAAACTTGGGTTTTCGTCTCAAATTAGAATTTTAAAAATGTCTGGAAAATAAACATTTTAGTAGCTTACCTCCTTTACAATTAGTGGGCTGATCTTTTTCAACGGCCTTTCGAGTTTTTCCCGAAGGGAGCACTATTTTTCCTGTTACTCCCGGGGATTGGTCTAAAACTTCACAAGTTTTGACCGTTTACAGCCTACGGTGAGTTTATGGAGGTTAACCGACTCTTTTTCCATATGGCCGACGGAATTACCGAGGTCCATGCAATACATAACCCATACATACAAAAGGCAAATACTCAAAAAACGTTTTTGAAATTAGCATCGATTTTTAACAAAAATGGCTATGTTTATATAAGGAAATACGGCCTCTTGTCAGTTTTAATGGCCTAACGAGGACCATGGAGTTTCAGAGTTTGATGACCTTGAGATATTTGTTCGATGGTCACTCGCGGGCAGTTTTCAACCGCTTGTTGTAGACCGAGGCCGATCGGCGCCCGTGGCATTGGCAAGTGTCATAACCAAACCATTGACCCCTTTAAATATATAGATACATCAAGGCAAATTTTACGAAACCGGAAATATTCTCATCGGCTTGTTTAGCATGTTTTAAAAAGTCTTGTTTTCAAGTTATCTCTTAGCTTCGAAAAAAATAACATTATTTTGTTTCATAGCTTGTTAGATTAGTAACCAGAATGGTTTTTTATGTCTTAAACACCATTATACTATACACACCAATAATAATAATAATAATAATAATAATAATAATAATAATAATACCTAAGTTCGACAGAAACACAATGTAATGTTGTTTTAAAACAAAGAATATAAAAAAAAATGTTTTTAAATATGCCCTGTTGAAAATCAAAATTTAAAAAAGGACCACCAAGTAATTGGAGCTTTCGACTGCTAACCCAAAAATCTCGAGTTTTCATCCCGACTCGAGTCTCTTACACGACCCTGAGCTAAACCAGTCCTGATGAGCTCCTGACTCACATTAGAAAACAAAGGCGGCAGCGCTTATATGCTTTTGTTTCTTATTTCTACCAATATTTTTGACAGTTTATCGATTAAAGATACGCAAGGAGAAAGTCAGACATGCCGCCACTATCTACAAATCTACGACGGTCCTACCACATCATCGACACCATTTTCCCGGCCTTGTGACAACAAGGGTCTGGCCCGCGTTGTGTCCTCATCCAACGAGATGTTAATAGAGTTCAGACCTGATGGCTCAGACAGTTACAAGGCTTTCAATGCTAGCTTCTTCATGCAAGGTAAAACTGTCAGCGTTGCAGTTCTGTGATATTTATTAAATAATCAATACTGAGTTGTTAAAAATTTACCGAGAGTTTCTTGAGTGTTTTTAACACAATATTTATTGCTGTGTACTATAACCACATCAAATATTGTCTACTTGAATATTTTGCGTTTTTGAGCAATTTCATTAGTATTGTTTGTGCACTACAGATTAGCCCGTATTATTTTTACAAATATTTTGTATACAATGCATTTTAATCACAAGCTTTTATATCATTATTCAATATTACAATCCGGCTGCTTAGTCGCCGGCAGAATACATAATTGACGCTAACTCGTGTACTAGCCAATAAGACCGTCGTTGTCTAGGGCTAATAATGATTTTACCTGATTAAATCACAGTAAAATAATCAGGGGCGTAACTACCATACCTCAAGACCTTGCAATGCGCGCGAGTGTGGGGGGGGGGGGGGATGCGATTAGGGGATCCACAATCCGACACATAAAAAACACCACTTTTTAGCAGTTTGATACACTAATGGTTTTCAGAAAAAAAAACAGAGGTACTGCGGCAGGGATTGTTCTACAGTAACTAACACATAGTGCTGCCTATACGAAAAAAAATGCATTAGCTCTAGTGTAAAAAGATAGACAGAACTTCAAACCACTTCCATAACTTATCGCTTCACTTAAAATATTCTAATAGTGGTGCCCTTAAACCTAATTTTAAGTAGTTGTGTACAAAAGAAATTAAAACGCGATTTCTCCTCTTAATTATTAACAAAATAAGGTATATTAAAGAATGATATAGATTTAAAAAGGAATGTATTTTTAAACAAGTAATTAAAAAAAGTCTAGTGACAATTTTAGCGCAATTTCCTTGTGTTATCTAAAAATAGCTCTGTCGTAGCGTAAATCAAGAGCAGGGTTAGTAAAACCATTGGTTAGTTATTAAAACGTTATTTATTAATTTTTTTTTCAGTATTTTACATGTTTTATTTACAATAGAGTAACATGACTAAAAACCATTGCGCGCCTAGCTACAGAACGTGACGTCGCAGCGATTGAACGTGATGACGCGTGTGGTGTGGTTGCATAAAATGCCTACTAATTCGGTCCAAATTTTAATTAATTCAAAAAAATTTTGTGACCAAACGAAAGGATATTTTTGAAAACTTACTTCGGCAATATTGTTCTAAATTATGGCGGGAATCGATTGGTACATGTTTCAAGTCGCTAAGAGGTCTGGTTGCCGAGATATGGGCCAAAAACTGAATTTTTTCGAGGTTTTTTGGCTTTTCCGGGAAATACATGAAAGAAACCCGGAATTTTTATAGCCTATGTTCATCCTCGTAACTTGCTTAACATAATTGCTTTTGGAACTAGTCCTCGATATTGCTTCGTTGAGGAGGAGATACGACTTAAAGCTGCGGACACACATCCATCCATCCATTCATCCATCCATTCCCAGAAAAGACGAGTTAATAAACGCAATTCTCCAGAATGGAAATTGCGCTAAAAAGTATTATGAAAAAAAAACACGTAAGAATACAACATACATGAACAACCAGTTCAATTTAAAGTCACGTCGGACTGTCTACTATTATATATATATATATATATATATATATATGTGTGTGTGTGTGTGTGTGTGTGTGTGTGTGTGTGTGTGTGTGTGTGTGTGTGTGTGTATGTGTGTGTGTGTGTGTGTGTGTATGAACATAAATGCCAACTTAAATGGAAACATAAACGCAAATGTAAATAGTAACGCAGAAAACAATGCAAAACTATTAAAAGAAAATATATACACAAACTTAAACGCATACATAGACTCAAATATGAACGCAAACATAAAAGCAAATAGCGTAGACGCAAATATAAACGAATACATAAACACAAACATAAACGCAAACATAAACGCAAACGCAAATATAAACGCAGAATATAATGCAAACATATACACAAACATAAACGCAAACATAAACGCAAACGCAAATATAAACGCAGAATATAATGCAAACATATACATAAACATAAACGCATAATGCTCACAGTATAGCCCGGGACACCAAATCGCACCCTACCGGGGCGCTGGTGGACGTATCTGATTATATTTAATAAAAAACTATAATATAAACGCAAACGCAAATATAAACGCAGAATATAATGCAAACATATACACAAACATAAATGCAAACATAAACGCAAACATAAACGCAAACGCAAATATAAACGCAGAATATAATGCAAACATATACACAAACATAAACGCAAACATAAACGCAAACGCAAATATAAACGCAGAATATAATGCAAACATATACACAAACATAAACGCATAATGCTCACAGTATAGCCCGGGACACCAAATCGCACCCTACCGGGGCGCTGGTGGACGTATCTGATTATATTTAATAAAAAACTATAATATCCCGTCTTATCTGCAAACGGAAAGATAAAATTAAAAATTGAGGACATTTAGGAACGGCTTCTAAATTGTTAATTGATTAAAAATAATTAGTAAACAGTACATTTAGTGTATAAAATAAATAAAAGCAGTATTTAAAATACACGTGTTTTACCTACCGCACTGCACTTTATCAATCCATGCTAATTATATAATTGTTTTTTTTCAACATGCATTTTTTAAATCATTTTTTAGCGCAATTTCCATTCTGGAGAATTGCGTTTATTAACTCGTCATTTCTGGGAATGGATGGATGAATGAATGAATGAATGTATGGATGAATGTGTGTCCGGGCTTTAAGTCGTATCTCCTCCTCAACGAAGCAATATCGATGACTAGTTCCAAAAGCAATTATGTTAAGCAAGTTACGAGAATGAGCATAGGCCATAAAAATTCCGGGTTTCTTTCATGTATTTCCCGGAAAAGCCAAAAAACCTCGAAAAAATTCAGTTTTTGGCCCATATCTCGGCAACCAGACCACTTAGCGACTTGAAACATGTACCAATCGATTCCTGTCATAATTTAGAACAATATTGCCGAAGAAAGTTTTCAAAAATATCCTCTCGTTCGGTCACAAATTTTAAAATTACATAAACACCTACAAACCGATCG